CACACACACAGTATTTAACACCCAGACCCCAGGAAATCAGAAAATGTAAACCTGAATTTTCAATATGAATAGGTGCAGTAAAAAATATCATACATGGATAACTGTATACAGTAAACATAATAAACAATATACATATGACAACAGACATTCTCACAGTATCGTTTATACCATGGAACAAAAAGAAGCTTTTACACCATGGGTTATGCATTTTCATTATCCTTGAGGCAGTTAAGGTTAGAATTTCAAATGAAATAGACAGAAATGTACCACAGGTGGCTAAACTACTTGGCATTAATACAGTGCATGAATACATAAACATAGAAACAAAAGGCTTCAGTGCGAATATGGTGTACAGTATGAGACAGCATTTGACTGATCCCAATGGGAAAATATTTTCCTATATGATGCTATCTGGCCATCTAACACTATTCTGTAAGTTTCCTACTTTATTCTTAGTTCATTTCTCTGCCATATTTTATGTCAAAGAACACTGTAAGAAGAGGACGGAGAGATCCTTCCTGTACTGTTTCCTTTTCTTACACATGATGAAGACTGTAAAGCTTCTGCATCAGTCAGTGGCAAATCGAATCCACCAAACCTCTTCAGTGGTGCTCTGTTAGCTCCATTCCCAGTCTGTCATTCAGATCCAAAGGAACCATAGTCATTTCAAACAGACGTCAGTCACCTTACCATTGCTGCTTGCTTGGTATTATCTACTCAGGGCTGGTAGCCATAATAAGGGTCTTCTGGGTGAAGAGAGCACAAACAAAAAGAGTCAACACACAAGACAGCTTTTACACTGGATTTGGCAGTGTTGGAAAACTGCTGCAACTAAAAATGAATTACACAAAACATATAGCCATAAGTGGTGATTAAAGGTTATATGAGATTGAAAACAGTATTATAGCAGCAAACAACGATTTGCTATGTAAACATACAGTATAGAGGAGTATCTGCTATTGCAACCTCTCTGTGCTGGGCTGGCAGTGCGTGCATATCAGTGCATGTGAGTCCCTCTGTTTACAAGTGAGTAGAGCAACTGAAACCGCTGTTTTTCTCATCTATATGAGTGGCAACATTTTGGACCCAGCCACTAATAATACCTTCCACACTGGACACACCAGTGCCAGGCTCAGTGTGAGCTGCCTCTGACAGACCTGGATCATTATATGTTCAATTCCCAGGATGTGCTGTGCTTTGAGTTAGTGGACCTTTCTTGGTAACTAACCTGTTTGCTGGGGAACTCTGTGGCAGCCTCCACTGCTGTCACACACCCCCGGTGGACCAATCTCGCCTGGCTGTCCACCAGGTCCGGGGATCCCCAGGGGTCCTGACTGACCGTTATCTCCTTTGGAGCCTGGGCTTCCCAGCTTGGACTCACCTGGAGGACCTGCAGGCACACATAATATACAGCTTGCATCTGTACAATGTTGTGTACTGATGATCCATTGGAGAGTTGATGTGTTCTATTACAGTGATATATGAAACAAATGATTCATAAAGAGGTACCTGCAAACCCTTTGACCCCTGTAGGCCCCTGGACATTGGTCCCTGCATCCCCCTTCTGCCCTGGCATACCTCTCCTTCCTGTAGAGAAGGAAGAGACAAATCAGCATAACCAAAAGCTCATAATATTATCACACTGGAACCCCAACAATCTGAATTTCACACACAATCTGATTGGATTGTCTTCATCTCAGCAAACCCACTAGATGGCGTCTTACCCTGTTCTCCTGGATATCCAGCCCTGCCAGGTCTCCCCCTTGGGCCGACATTCCCCTGGGAGCCCCTGGCGCCTGGTGGGCCCTTGGGCCCTGGTATACCAGGTTCCCCTGGAGGCCCCGCCGGCTCCTCAATGGGAGCTGGCTTACGACTTATCTCGTTAATGAACATGTCGAGCTTCAACACCTCCTCTGAAAGACACACACAACTCTGGATAAAGTGCGCACAAGAGAATCTCGAACTTCTTTAAGTCATAACGAGTGAGTTAATTATACAGATATGGTCATTGTAGAAGTCCCAGTTTTTTACATGCTTGCTAAACAGAGTGCTTACTATGTACTAGTTGCTCACAGGCCTGTGTGACCAGTTGGTAGATCATGGCCATAGACTGAGGTTCCCCCTGTAAAACATCAGCACATTCACTAACCGTGGTTAAAGCATTATTTTGAAATGGCACTTTACATACAGAAAAAAAAGAATTGAAAAAATAAAATCATTTACTTTAGAATGATGTCAGTATTACAATAAGAAAAAGATTGTAAACCCACCTTCTCTCCTCGTTCCCCTTTACTCCCCGACAGACCCTGTAAAGCAAAAGATACATGAACATTAAGATGAATAAGCAGTGCATACGGCCTCCCTGCTCCCCCTAAACCAGATCTCTAACTTCCTCCGCTCTCCCACTCTCCTCATACATTTGAAAGTGACCCACACGATGTTGGTGAGTGTGTCAAACAGGAGGACTACATCTGACGCAAACCCCTTTTTGGATGATCCCTTTTCCATTAAGAGTCCAGCTTCAAAAAGCCTCCTTGGATCCAGGTCTCTGCCATAAAACAGAGACTCCCAGGGTTCTATTCTGGTGTTGGCGCAGAGTGTGGAATAAAGTGTTGCAGTGAAGTGGCATTTTTCTGGGGCACACTGAGGTCATTTCCTTAACTGCACCAGTTTGGTATCACATGACTTGTGAATCCAGCAGTGTACTACATTCTTGGTGGCAAGAATGAATGTGTCTCATGTGGTCCGCCACCCACCTGCATCTACATCTTACTTCATCAATGTATTTTCCTTATCTGAATCTTTGCCTGCTTATATTCTAATCTGGTTCAGTCACGGATGATCACTCTGATTCCTTTATTAATAATCAGTCTGAGAGTGTCTTTACTAAACAAGCCAACATATTATGTTAATCAATATCCTTATTTATTGCTAGACATGGTTATCATTGTCACATTTAATTATGGATGACATTTTGATACTCTCTTGTGTGTGTGTCATATGTGTAAAAATTCCAAATAGTTGTTGAGTCTTGTGAGTGTAAATGTTTTAATATCAGAGTGTCTGAAGTTCCCAAGAACTAGAAGAGCAACTTAGTGTCTGAAAATATAGCTCATATATTTCCAACCCATGTTCACTATGAATACTATGTTCACTATATAACAACATGTGAGGACAGACTAATGACACTATTTTACTCGGGTCTTACTGTAGGTCCCACAGGTCCAGCAGGGCCTCTTTCCCCTGTAGGCCCTGGGTGTCCTGGCATTCCTTGGAAACCCTGTAAATTACAAATAAATGGATAGAAGTGAAGATGAAGTGACCATATCGGGAGAATAGGCAAAGCTGAGTTTTAAATGTGAGCTAAGCCTGTGTATTAAACTGTCTTTAAGGTTAGGGTTAGGTTTAATACTGCGATATAAAGTGTGTGATTCTAGATCACCTTGTGAACTCCTGCTCTGACCTAATCAGCTCTAATAAGCAAAAAATAACTTTACAGTTTAATGATATACTCCACACAATAAAGTGATTAAGAACATATCGGCCATTCTTAGAGCCTCATCACCATTTATTGTTGTGTGGAACTACAGTAACATTAAAAACATGTTACTTTTTATTACTTATTATCTGCATCTTACTCTAGAAACAAATTTGACATTTTGGCCTGAAGGGGGTGCTAGAGGAAAGCTCAAAATGTGTTCAACATGGAATGAGTTAATTCTCTGTAAATTAAACGTGCACCAACCCATTAGATTTTAATCAGTGAGGTAGGTGTAAATTGTGTCCTGATGGGGGTCATAGGTCACCAGAAACATTAAGATTCATGGACAACAAATATGCACAGTAGATTTATTATTAGTTTTTCAAATTACATGTCAAGGTTGAATTTTGACCTACCGCTAGCACAAAAGTTGAAAATTCTGTCTTTAAAATGAAATTCAGTCTTACCCTGAGTCCAGCAATACCGGGTGCACCGATGCTACCTTCGGCCCCTCTAATGCCCTGTGAAACAAGTTGCAGAAGGATGAGGACAAATAAAGAGTCACTGCTTCAGCTAAACTGTATGAAGAACTGCTTTACTGTTGTGCATTGGCAAGCAGCTCACCTTGGGGCCTGGAATGCCCTCCCCCCCTTTTGGACCTGGAGGTCCTGGTGAACCCTTCAGGGAAAGACAGCAGGAAGGTATGAGAGAACACAATGAGAGACAGAAGGATGAGTTTATGGACAATAGTATAAGTGTTTTCTATTCTATTTCTGTATTCATGTTACTCCACTATTTCACTGTAAACTCACCTGGATTCCTGGTCGCCCAGGATCTCCCTTTTCCCCTCTCGCACCAGGTGGACCCTGAAAGTAAAATGATAAAAATAGATAACCAGTGAATTTACAACATTCAAACACACTAGAAGCATTATATGTAGCAAGGTTACTACCACTCTACACAGGTATTTATTTAAAACTTAGGAAGGTTACCCACCACTTTGCCCTGCACGGTCATGCCTCGGGGCCCTGCATTGCCCACAGGTCCAAGACCTCCCTCAAATCCAGACTTTCCTGGAGGACCAACCTCTCCCTGAGACACAGAGAAATTAGCATGAAGACGTCACTTTGATTCTACTGTTAGTCTCTAGTCTCTCACCACTAGATGCCACTAAATCCTACACACTGGACCTTGAAGCTTAAAAATATATTCACAGTGTGGATATGAGACTTGGACTAGTTATTGTCTCCCTCACCCCCTTTTTGAACTTTTTTGCATAAAAAATATTACCTTTTTCCAGTTTTGTATATATATATATATATATATATATATATTTGTCTCATTTTTATCAATTGATATGGTAAATCTCAGGTGTTTTTTCCCCCCAGATTTCTGTTTCCTACAACAAGGGGACAACCAAATATCGGCCAAATTATTATTTTACACATCGGTATCGGCCCAGAATTTCCCAATCATGCATCCCTAGTGACATTAAATCCCTTGTTGTGATTAGATTGAAGTGATTAATGCAGGTATCCACGCTATTTCTACTGTGTGAAAAGTAAGCAGGATTTTGATCCACTGTTAACAGGAAGGGTGTTTCTACATCTGCAATCTGCATTTTTTTATTAACTATATCTACCAATGAGCACAACAGTCAGTGTGCTCATTGGTAGAGATAGATCCTGACCCTGAGCCTTTGTCTTAATGGCGCAGCAGCAGCTCTGAGCCTATAATCAGGGTCTTGTCAGCTCCTATATTATTAGGTCGGGTCTGGTGTGGATATGATTTGGAGATGATTGCAGGTAACAGAACTTAAATCTAACTAAGCCTCAGTAAATATTTTCATCTCACCTTTTGGCCTTGATCTCCCCTCTCGCCTTTCTCACCACGAGGACCTGGTTTTCCCTGGGAAAAAGAAAAAGAATTGAATGTCAATGTGTTGTCTGGATCACACAAAAAATGAGTCAGCTGGTATTCAGGATCTAACTGAGGTCTCATGGTGTCATACAGTTGGTCCAGGGGAACCGGGAGCTCCGGGGATGTCGGAGGAGCAGGTACAGGTGTATGCCGGGGCAGGACAGCTTTCCTCATCTCTCTGCACACAGACAGACACAAACAATAAAGATCTAGACTTAGTCAGCCCTTGAAGCCACTAGTACATTTACTGTGCTCTTATATAGTATCTCTCACCACTGGAAGAAAAAGTACCAAACTGTTATTAACTCACAGCATGGTAAAATAGAGTTGAATAAAGGTAAATGTAAATAGTAACAGACAGACCACTCCAGGCAGGTCACAGCAGGTATCATCCAAAGCCCACGTGGTGTTACAGACGATCTCAAAGGACTGCAGCCCAAACTGGAAACAACGAAGAACATAGGACACAGGTTGAGGACAGGACAGGAAAAGACATTTATTTTAGATATGGGCCTGGATTAATATCAGATTAACAGAATAAAACAGAATCAAAAGTACCGGTGCAGATCCACTATTTGGTCCTCTGGTCTTCACCAGTTTTCCCAGCATCTCAAAGCCATCGTTTGGTAGGTTGCCTAAAGGGCGGGCAGGCCTCTCACCCACATGCTGGCAGTCCACAGACAGGGACACACTCACCTGGCTGACAGACAGGTGAACCTGCCACAGAAGAAAGAGGACCCATCAAATGGAACCACAAGTGATACAAAATGACATATAATCCCACACTATTTTGTCATATAAGGCAGGTACATGTATACATAACATGTACAACAACATACATACATATTAATAATGTATTTGGAGTTGATATTCCTTTCAGATGTGATACTGTATATGTGGGTGACATCTCATTTGAAAGGTGGAACAGCAATGATAAAAAAACTGGTACAAATACAGCAAGTATGAAGGCTGTCACAACCAAGTGGCTAAACTCAGATCCACCCACCATTGATGAATAAAAAGATTTTTTTCCAGATTTGGACCAAGTGGATTGAGTACATCAAACCTATAGGGTCAACGATTGGAATGATAGAATTTTTCTTCTAAGGTGAAAGCTTCCCATGTTGTAAATAAATATAATAAATATTTCAAGCTAATGTTATAAAAGGAAATCTCTGGAATAGCTAGGCTGTAAAATGGTTATCCAATGTACTATTTTGTCTTAAGTGTGCCCAATGCTATGTGAACCTACCTGCAGTAATACTAATACTATGTAAATTGATGACTGTGAAATTAATGTTTTTCTAAATTAAAATAAAAGTAAAAAAGAAAAACATCCGTGTTTCATTTTCTGCTAAATGACAGTGGGGCTCTTGTTGTCCTCTGACACTTGCTCACTGTATATGATCTCACCTTGTGAAAACTGCCATAGAACAGTCTGTGGACCTGCGTCTGGTCAAAGGTCAGTTCCTGTACTTCTCCCCTGTAGTCCAGACTGAAATACACCAGCTGCTTTGTAGTAGCTGTGGAATGCACAAACATAGAGGAAGATATTTAGTGATTAACTATCACATAGCAAGGTGTTCCTAGCCTCTTGTGGGGTTTTCACACTACTGGCTCTTTTTTAAAATTAGTTTGTGACATCTGCTGTGTGCTGTCAAACACTGCATGTTAATAATTTCTAAGGATAATGAGAGATCCAATGTCAGTTGGATAGGAGACCAACCCAGAGGGGTACAGAACACCAGAGGTCACTGATGGCATCTTGCAATTCACAAAAAAATCTGCTAAATCTCTACTTTTATATAGTCCCCAACAAATGCTTTCCCAAACTCAAAGTTTGGGAGTAAATAGGTTTTGATCTTTTCATATGATTTGTTGAATAATAAAATATAGAATAAAACAAACCCTATTTCTACACCCTAGATTTATATCAATATAAATATAAATATTATATCAATTTAGGCACAAAGCACATTCACTAATTTCATGTTTCATCCGTCATGACCTTTATCACAGTGATCTGATCTAACTTCTTTGAAGATACTGAAACTCAAGCAATGAAAACTTCATGGTAAAAAAATGTGGATTTACTGGATTTCAACCTATAGTCATAGTTGTTCATTTGTAAGGAAAATTAACTTGGTTTGTACACATTTGTCCTTTAAATCTGAGGTTATGAATTTTAAAATAATTTTAAAAAACTAGCAACAAGGAACGATTATTTTCGAATAATGTGCTTATTAATTTCTCAACTAATTATATGGTCCATAAAATCTAGAAACTAGTGAAAAAACGCTCAATGTGACATCTTAAAAAGTGTTGTTTTGTCTAAACAACAGTTCAAAACCTAAAGATAATAAGTGTACTATTACACAAGACAAAGAAAACCAGAAAATCCTTGAGAAAATGGAAATAGGAAGCTTATTTTTCTGTTGATTATTAATAAATTGATCGAAAAAGATCTTATATCTGTATATGAGGCTGGAGGGAATTTGCTTACAGTTTGGGAAATGGAGAGATTCCGAAATGTTACTCACGGTTGAGCACCACCCCCATCTTTGGCTGGAAGTCGTTGTCAGTGAGCTGCCAGAGGGCGAATGGCTCCCTGGGTGTTTCCTGCAACACGCGGAAGGCAATGCTGATGGTGTGCTCTGGAGAGAAGCCTGCAGGGTGGATAAACCTGGAAGGAGAGAGGGAAAGACGGACCTATTAAAATAAAGGTTTCTTAAAGGTTTTCTGTTTAAATCAGAACAGTTTAGAGCTGCTCTATACAAAACTGTCCTGAGATAACTTCTGCTATGACTAGGCGCTATACAAATAAAATTGCATTGACTAGAAAACAGAGTTGACAGAGACAGATGTGTAATTTTTTAACTGTAAGGTCATGTCAGTAAATCGCACTCATATGCTGTTTAATATTTAGTCAGTTGATCTGATTGGACATGAAAAGCAACAGAAACGTAATTATAATATTAGTATCATTATTAATATTATTGCATTATTACAATACTGTAGTTTGGGATGGTAGCACTTAGCAAGTTTCTGAATGTAGAATGAATCACAAAATCACAAATCACTCTTTGCAACTTTATTATTTAAAGATCTTTCTTTTTAATGAAGATCCAAAATTGTGTACTATTCTGACCCTGATTATCAGTTTAATATCCAGCCTGAACCTGAAATCACACAACTCTAGCTACAGCCATCCCCAAAAACGTCATAAATTCTATTTACAGCTGGGAGGTGAATTGGCAAAAATGAGAAGTGGATGGTGTAAAAAGCAGTAAAAGGGATAATCTCACTTGGTACTCTGTGTCAGCTGGACGTCTCTATACAGAGTGTAAGTGGGGAGGGTGTTGAAGACAAAAGGCTCAACTGCCACGCCATCCACAGACGAGTGAGCTCTCTGAGTCAGCCCAAAAGCTTCCATCATGTCAAATCCTGAGACAAAAAACACGTTCCAGAAATAAAATCAATGAATGAATTCAAACTGAGCCTTTTTTGAGAGAGTTTGCAGTTATGTGTGAGGACAGCTTGTCTCACCTTTAACAATCTTGTTCCTGATGGTGACTTCAGGGCAGACTGCAACACAACAGGGCAGTGTTGAATGATTAAAAGCAAGGCAGTCAAACCATCAGTTGATTCATTTTTAAGACCTGTCAAAATAGTATTTAAGATTTTAAAATTAAAATTCATAGACCCAGCAGACACCCTGCTATAACTGGGGAGAACGCAATAAGGACTGGGAAACTGATTTAAAAAAAAAAAACACTGTTAGACAAGAGTAAAATATTCTATTGCTAATGTATCACCTGTCAGCAGGATCATATTACAATAACACATTTGTGTGGTCTAAATGGATGGTAACATGTAGATTTCAGCCGTAGGTGCCCGGGAAGCAGTTAGGGGTTGATGATTACAATGAGATGAGAGTTCAACCACATCTACAAAACTAAATGTGACACTGTTAACAAGGATGAAAGAAATATAAAAGCTGGGGACCTGCTGGGGTCATCAAAATAATATAACAAGTCTGCTCAGTTTGAACCGAAATTACATCCCCAAGAGATTACAAAAATGATTTAGAAGCTAATCAGGCAAATTTCCATAGAAGAAAATAACTGATATGATTGTGAGTCACCTTCATTGTGGATGGGGTACATTCGGGGATGGATGGGAATTCTGGCAGGAGCCGTGGCTGAAAAGGAACAAGTTAGATCAACTATGACGCATTTCACAGACAACAAAAGACTACATGATGACATTTTATGGAGGCAAGCAGCCGAGAAATGATTCCTGTATCCCATATTTTAGGTGTAAAGAAAACTATCCTCAACATCTAACATACTGTCTGTGTTACTGTGATCAGGTCAGACCTGTTGGATGGAGAATGGAGACGGCAGTGCCCTCTGCTGAGCCGAGAAGTGAGTGCACGCTGATGCGATACAGAGTCTCTGGTTCCAGATCAGTGAAACAGTGACTGCTGCTGGACTCATCGACACTTTCTTCCTTTGTTTGCTTATCTATACACAGTGCACACATACACATATACACACACCAATCGGTAAATTAACAGTGGTTGATGTGGTTTATGAAACAGCTTTAAGCACCCAGAGCTGTCAATTAATATAGATTTTACAAGAGATTACCTTTGACAGACTGGATGACAATACGATATCCATCGACTGCAGACACTGGTCTCCAAGACACACAGATACTGGAGTGGTCTGACCTGACCACACTCACACTGCTTACCCGCAGACTGGCTGGAGAGAGAGACAGACAGAAATGTAAAACAGAAGGCCAATAAACAAGAAATCAGATTTACATACAGAGTAGCCAGAGGTGAACAGAGAAGGTTGGAACAAGGACCTTCAGTAAAAATAAACACACAGAATCAGATGTTTGAGATTACAACCTCATTTTACATTTGAGTGTAGGATATTCATCAGAGCCGATACTGTCTGTATGAAACCACAAAAAATAGTCTTCAGAACAGTCCTAAACTTTGACTTATGAGTCGAAAAAAATCTTAGTAAAGAGTAGTTCTGAGTAGCTTTGTTTAAAGAAGCTTAAAGTCACAGTGTGACTCTATCATTATCAAAACCTGACACCTACATTACCCAAAATGCATCTCGACTGCCAACAGCTCAGTCTGAGATTTTAGGGTGTTGTGCTAGTAGCAGCTAATGTAGCATGAGAAGAGGAGTGGGCTACAGACGCTTGAAGAGCTCACTTCTCTGTAACTCCATACCAACAGACTGTTCTCATTTTCAGATGCTGACTGAACTGACATCACTTGAGGACACTTCATACATTAATATACTTCAATATATTGAAACATAGAAGACAAAAGATAAAAGCTTATAGAAGATATTTCCCCTACAGTTGGAAGAAGAAGAACATATCAACCTTTTAAAATGTTCCTATTTGACTTGTGTGACATGCTCTTTGAATCATTCCCCTTCCCTTATTTGTCATATTTGTCAGAAAACAGAGATGAACATTCTTCCTTTGTCTTACTGTGCTGCAAGCTAAGATGGTAGACATAAAATGATTAGCAGTGTAAACTTGGTGATCGATTTTCATCACATGTACTGCAACATAATCAATATTAAAAATAAAAAATGAACAATAAAACACATCTACATATTTATTGAGATGTACTGTGTGCAGTCTCAAGCGATACTTAAGATGTTCCTTTACCTTTCCTAAGGACATTCATGCCTGCAAGGAAAAAGCTATGACATTATTTACATTTGAATATGATGTTATTCAAATTTAGACACTGATCCAGCAGATCCGTCTTTCAAAACACTGTGTATTCTTGTAGTGGGTTCGACTCACTGGTTTTCCCCTGAGCTGAACCGCTGCCTCCTTCTCTGTTGCGGTACTCTGCGGTGACCAGGATGCTGTAACGTGTATCTGGCTGTAATGACTCTAGCACCACCCGCTTTTCGCCACCTGGGACCAACACCTGTAGACGACAAACACACTTTTCAGAGTCAAGCTTTTAATTAAAACATTCTGGCAGTGACAGAGCTAAATTGCAGTTTTTGTCATTTTCTGTGAGAAGCACTGTGATTTACTGAATAGGTGACGGTTACAGCCAACTCACAGTGCTGTCCTGGCCTTCAGCTCCAGTCAGCGCAGTGTAAGACACACGATACTGGAGGACATGAGCATTGGGAGGTACCCAGCTGACTACCAAGCTGACTGCAGTCTCTTCGGAGACCGAAACGCTGGATGGACCTCCACCGGACACTGCAGAAGCAAAACACAAAAACCAGAGATATTTAGACTCACTACAAGGAATATTCAGTTCAGTTTAAATCTTTACAAGAGGAAATTCTTTTTGCAGCAAGACTGCAAAAAAAAAACACAAATAAACTCAACAAGAACAGCATTACAGAAAAAAGGTTCAATGATCAAGTAAAGAAAGCATGCAACAATCAGAACAGGGATTAGATAAAGTGTTAAGCTACGCAGGAAACCAAGGTAATGTCATACTAGAATTAAGAGTGTTTATTGCAACATTAAAAACATTTAACTTCTGCAGAACATGCAGTCTTTGTTGCCTCAGTGTTCACATCAAACAATGGTGTGACAAGGTGGAAGTACATGTAATGATTTTATGATGTCAATAACCACATCTTGGCTTTAGCAGTATAATCGTACATTTAGTACAAAACCTAAGTAAAATTTTAAGGTGTTCAACAGAGCAGAGAGAGTGTGCTGTTACATGAGACTACTCCCTTGTGTCTGGCCCTGTATGATACTTTTGATACTGCGAGAGAGAAACATAAAGAGGCAGGGAGGGCATAGCCGGTGTTTGTTCAACGGTAGGCCGTTAGAGAAAGAGGTGTAGGTGTGTGTGCCAATATAAATCCAAAAATTGAAAACTGAATACCGACAGTATAGTTGAATATTGGGGTCCAGCCCTAATTCACAGCGATCCTGTCCCCAGATTTGCTAATCTTTTTTTGTAAAGAAACAAAGAAATGGCTAGCGGCACTGAATGAGGGACACATGGGAAAGAATAGGAGGAGAAAACAAAGGCATGGCATGTTGAACACATACTGTGAATTACTGATGACTACAAGGACTGAATCTGTGCCCTACTGAGACAGAAACA